GCCAACTACAAGAAACGTCTGACCTCTGTGATTGCCAACAAAGGTTTTGCCACCAAGTACTAAAGCACGTTTTGCAAAGGGATCAAATACTTATTTCATTCATGAAAATGCAAATTACTTTATAACTTTTTTTGTAATGCATTTTTCTGGATTTTTTTGTTATTGTTGTGTCTCACTGTTCACATAAACCTACCACTGAAATTGTAGACTGATCATTTCTTTGTTAGTGGGCAAACTTACAAAATCAGCTGGGGTTCAAATAATTTATACCCTGACTGTATCAACAAAAATAATATTTCTAAGCTGATAAAAGTCACGATCTTTCATGTATTTATTGAGCACACCCATTCAATATAAAAAGTGATGGTGAAAAAAGTGATGGCAACACAAGGCTTTTGATGTCACTAAACGTCAACTGGAGTCAGGTGTTAGCAAACCTGGAGTCCAATCAGTGAGACAAGAATAAAGGTGTGGTTTAGAACTACCTTGACTTATAAAAACACTGAAACAGTGTCAATGTGCTGTTCACAAGCAGCATCAGCTGATGTGAGCCATACCTCACAAAAAAGAGATCTCAGAAGACCTATGATTGATCTGCATGCAGCTGGAAAGGGTTACAGTCATCTCAAAGACTTTAGACATTCATCAGTCCACAGTTAGACATATTGTCTATAAATGGAGACAGTTTGGTACTGTGGTTACTCTCCATAGAAGTGGGTGCCCACTTGGGATGAAAACATCATCCCAAAAGTAAAGTACAGTGGAGGGAGCATCATGATTTGGGGCTGCTATGCTGCCTCTGGACCTGGACTGCTTGCCACTGTGGAGGGGTAAATGAATTCCCAAGTTTATCAAGTATCCTACAGGATAATGTCAGGATGGCTGTCTGCAAGCTGAAGCTCAGAACAAGCTGGGTGATGCAGCAGGACAATGACCCTAAATATCAAAGTAAATCTACTACAGAATGGCTTTGGAGACACACAATCCACCTTTTGGAGTGGCCCAGTCAGACCCCAGACCTCAACCCAATAGAGGTGCTATGAAATGACCTCAAGAGAATCGTCCACACCAGACATCCTAAGATTCTGGCTGAGCTGAAGCAGTTCTGTCAGGAAGCATGGCCCAAAATTCCTCCTGAACATTGTGCAATCCACAGCTACAGGAAGCACTTGCTTGAGATTATTGCTGCCAAAGGTGGTTCAACCAGTTATTAAAAAAATGTTGCCATTACTTTTTCTACCATCACTTTATATGTTTAATGGATGTGTTCAGTAAAGACATGAAAGAGCAGGACTGTTCATCTTTTATCAGCTTAGCAATATTGTGTTTGGTGATATTTGTGACTTTGGTGAAGATCAGATCACATTTTCTAACCAATTTATGTAGAAAATCATGCAATTGCAAGCATTGCCATTCCTTTTTTCTTGCATCTGTAGGCATGTCACTAGCTCCTCATAGTTTCAAATCCTAAGACTACTAAGAACAAAAGCATATTTACATACATGCGCTTTCAGGCAACTTTAACAGATGATGGTGGGTAATGACCTGTGACAGCTGTACATGTCCAATGGCAGAGACAGAGACTGCTGTTTAGCCTCTATGTCCTGTGTCTTCCTCCAGAGCCTGCATATGGCTTTTCTATTTGAGTGCGAAACACATAGAGGTCTACTATAACTAGGTGATACACTGAAAACATACTTTCATCAGAGCCACACATTTCTCTGCAGTCTATTATACAAAGTATTAAGCAGGTGATTGTCTGTATATGTTTCTGTACCAGCCACCTAGTCTTCAGCCAGTCTACATTCAGTGTGTGTCCATGTCAGAGCAGAGCTGTGCTGTGCAAGCTCAGCACCTGGTCACGTTCTCCTTTCAAGCAGGAGGTGGAATGGAGCACAAACACCAGTGGGGATTCAGAGCCAGGCAGATGTATACCGACCACCTCCCTACAGCTCCAATGGCAATTTAATGACACCAGTTCTAGTGTACATTAGATTATTAGACTCCAGCGTACAATATCCCAAGACTGGATAATATTGTTTTTTCCTCTGGCTGATAATGGATTAGAAAAATAAGGAACAGTGTAACAGATGTCTCTCGGGGTAAAAATAATAAATCACACAGACTTGTAACATGGTTGAGAAATATGCAGCCACAAACACACCCACATCCAAACACTTCAGTGATTCATTTACTCTCTTTATTCCAACTGAGCAGCAAGTCACGAGAGAGGAAATGGGGAAAAAGCGATTAGTTTGCATTTAACTTGCAAACATCATTAAGGCCTCAGTACTAATTGTGTTGTTTTAAACGAGTGAAATCTGATAATGACTTCATTAGTGACTCAGTGTAATGATGACTCCTAGGGTTAAGAGAGAAAGAGGAATAAATACAGAGGGACAGCGTGTATATGTGGGCATGGGAGAAAGTGTGAGGAGACAGGGGAAGGAACAAACTCTGAAACTGCGACTGATTCAAAGTTTAACCGCACATAAAATGGAAGGAGATGATACATGCAGAAAAGGCATCAACAAAGGCTGAACAGGATAAACACAATAATAACTGGGGAACATACATGGCTAAGGAGGTGTGTGTATATTGGTTTCAAAATGTGTGTGCCCTCTCTAATGCAGAAGGGGACTGCTTGAGAAGGGGAGAGGTCTAAGCATGGCTGCATACATTACTGCATCAATCAGTGCTAAGCTGCAGTGTAATTTTCTAACTCCCTATTTCTCTCCCTACCCCATCACACAGACAACACCCCATGGCTATTTCTGATGAGATTCAGAGCTGGAGAGAGGGAATGGGGGTGAGGAGGGAGGAGGGTGTTTATGGCGCAACCTACCTTCCTCTCCTCTCTTCTCCTTCTATCAATCCAGCCCTCTGATTAATTTCCAACTAGATTGCTTGGCCAGCAGTATTATTAGCATAAAATTTCCATGGATCAAGCCCAGCTATGAAACCCTTTCATCAAGCTGCTTGTCAAACACAAAATTTCAGATCTCATTTTGTTTCTAATATCATTTTCATACTGGGGTTGTGATGGGGAGAGGAATCAGGGGCTACAACATAGGGAGGGAGAGGCTGTGGGGGGCTATCAGAGGATTGTTATTTCAAAGATAAACGGAGTCATCAATCAAAATTAAAATGAACACTAGGTTTGGAATGAGATTCTGTACTAGCAGGGAGATGTATGTACGCATGCCTGCACTCCTGCATGCATGTGCACTCACAGTGGGCCTAATGGCCAAGGTCACTGGTGGGTGGAGGATGGGATGGTGTTAAAAGGCTTGTTGTGAACTCAGTGACTATACAAAATATGTGAATTCAGCTTAATATCCCACCTTTTGGTGCTTCAACTCAATAAAAAACACTGTGACGAGTTTGCAGCTATCACCACACAAGGCGGAACACCTCTGCAAACTCAGAAAACGTCTCTGAATGTGCTACTCTTTGACAGCCATCACAAGAAATAATTGTAACCATTGCTTTGATTACAAAATGTGCAGCACTGTCACTGGTGCCTCCCCAAAGCACTACGCTGCACCATTAATTATGAAAAATAAGAAAGGAGAGTGGTGGGGGGTTATTTTAATAAGGACACAGAATCAATGCAATTTATTCAATCTGTGCTAATTAAAAAAAACTATATTGCAAAACAATCAAGGTGCATAAACAAGATTAAAATAAATGAACTGTGCCAAGAGAAGCGTGCTCTAATTAAATGATACAAATTGTGATTCCATCGCTGTGTGCTGTTTGTTGACACCTTGAAGAAGAAAGCGACATGCCTGACCACCTTCATGAGGCCCCCTCCTACCGCATCTTTAATAGAAAGGCAAGTTTTGCTCTGGCCTGACAGCAGACTTATTTCTTATTTAACAATTAGTGATAAACATAGCTAAACTCTGCAGATATTTCCTGCAGAGGTTAGTGGTGACCAAAAACAGATGAAAAGCAAGTAAATATTAGAACTACTGTTTATTCACCGGGGGGGCAGAAACACAACTCTTCAATGAATGGTTGCTGTTGCTCTGTCTGGGAATTGTTTGCTAGGTTCACCACATCAGCTAAAGATGTGATCATATTAGGGTTGTGTGTTTGTAAATACAGATGTAAACAATGCAGGAAGTATAAGTTGTACTTCATAAATCAAACACAAATGCAAATGTTCTGTCAGGAAGCAAATGCATTCAATGTGGTTGTCAGGCCTCAAGGGTAAACACCGTATATTTTGGACAGAAACACTGAATGTAAACTTAATTTGTTTATCATAAAACTCCACAGAATACCTGCTAAGAATCCAATCTTTTGTTGAAGACTGACAACTACTATTTTTAACTACCTACAGTACAAACTTTAGTCTGACTAGTGTTTCATTTTTTTCAGTGAAGTACCCAAGTTAAAAATGGGTTGATGTGCATTGTGTCATGTTACTCTGGATGTTGGTAGTCTGTTAAATCATAGGATTCGTGGAGCATTTTGGCTTTCTGACATTTTAGGCTTGTACAGTAAAATAAGTTGCATCAGATCACTGAAAAGCATTAAAAACTGAGAAACATTCAGCATTAGGGCTTTTATCGTTCCAATTACATAATTTCTTACACTTGAATTTGCCATGAAATAAGGCAGCATTTTTAAGAGCAAACATTTCAGATTCTAATTAGAATTAGTTTTGAGGTACATAACTCACCAAGAACCCAGTGATTGAGAAGGACAGATCTTTGGTATACAGTATATGGTGGTGACCTAAGAGCATGTACACGTACATGTGTGCTGAAGATGTTCAAATATGTGCATATATGTGCAGTGAGACCTTTAAGAGATTGCTGTAGCTCTTCTGCTGCAGCTGCTCTGTTTCTCCAGTGTGGACATTCTTCACTCCACTGCGCAGGATCAGCACTTCCAGCCTTCAGGGGACACTACTGCATTGCCTGCACTGCCAACCACACATGGAAAAAAAAAGACACATGCAAACAGAAGGTTGAAGAACATAGCAGTGTTAAAATGAACGAGCGATCAGTGAATAAGATTAGGGATGCTCTCTCACACGCAAATGTGTTTTTCCTTTTTACATTCAATGCTAATTGGAATTCTATGACCATGAGCGGTTTGTGACACAAGGCTCAAGTCTGTGCCACAGATACATAAAGATGTGAGTACGCATGTCCACACACACACACACACTCATTTAATGTTCAGTGAATCGTTATCACTTATCAGGAATAATTGCTGCATGTTTGTGCAAGTGTGAAATTGAACAAAATCCCACTCCATATAATTAAAGAAAACAGTGAGCACACAATAACAAGAGGAGGCCAGGAGACCGTGAAAGTATGGATACAACCGAAGGCAACTACAGCCTATTATGTTCTTTCTCTATCTAAACCTCTGCTTCCATTCCAACCTGTGGAGTGTTGAGGAAAATTTGATTTCCTCACATGCTACTTCAGCCCTCGGAACAAGCTAAACTGTTGCGTTTCGGAAGGAAAACAGAATCAGTCTCATCATCCCATGTTTCTGATGTTTCTACCACCTTACCAACTTCCACTCACTTGTCTCTCTTCATCTCTCTTCCTGTCTATCTTCTTCTGTCTGCTGACCCATCTGCTTGGATGAAAATGACGTCCTCTGGTGAGTCTAAGGAAACACCACATAAAGCAATTACTAACAAGCCTGATGTGCCACTCCCTCCTTTCCCTTTGTGTAGGGAGGGGATAGAGTCGGGCCAAGTGCCCTTCAGCAAAAATGAATTTTCCAATTTCAGTTAGTTCTTCCATGAATAAATAAACAAATGAATAATTGAAAAGAGCAACATAAATAAATAACATCACAAATATTTCACCGGTACTCATAAGTATTCTGCAGATAACTCAGGCTGCATGCTAATGATTAAAAACAGTACACGTAGCAGGCTGAGATGCATTATTCACCGCTCTGGTCTAAGCAAAATTAAATAAATAAAAATCTCTCAAGGAACTCAAAACACCCTGTCAGCATTGAAGTGACAGGCCTGTCCCATTTATAACACACAAGACACAAGGACACTGTGGAAAACAAATAACTGACCAGTTGGATGCAAGACAATAAATAAACCAAAAGCAAACTGGCAGCCATTGACAAGATATCCAAAATTTCAGCAAGTCATTAGAAGGGAAAAAACAACTTTCATGTGCTAGGAAAAAAGTTCTGCAGTAAAGGTATTGCGTACTGCAAGCATACTGGAACAGGTGAACACAAGAAAACAGTACTGACAATGTTTTCTCTGGGACAGCCCAAAGTTTAGATATTACATCAGTGAAGAACGTTAAGGAGGGACAAAACAATCAAGACACACAGTAGCTGAGCCAAAAGGCAAAACTCTCAATTTACCAGTCAGTCTACACTCCAACCCTCACCTATGGTCATGGGTAGTGACCAAAAGAATAAAATACAAGTGACCGAAATTAGTTTACTTTGTAGGGTGGACTTACCCTTAGAGATAGGGTGTAGAGTTGAACCAATGCTCCTTTACATCGAAAGGAGCCAGTTGAGGTGATTCGGGCATCTTATTAGGATGCCTCCAGGGCGTCTGCCTTTGGAGGTCTTCTGGGAATGTCCAACTGGTAGGAGACCCCAGGACAGACCCAGAACACATCTGGCCTGGGAACCCCTCAGAATCCTGCCAGAGTTGCTGGTGAGAGGGACATCCGGACTACCTTGCTGAACCTGCTGCCATCACAGCCCGAGCCCTGATAAGAGGATAATAATGGAATGGATGGAATAACAAGGGGCTCTGGGAGCACGTCTACAACTCATAATAAACGAACATTCTGCATTTTTAATAAGAAATATCTTGTTGAACATACAAAACATAAAGCTGCAAAGGTCATTACTCTGCATGTATGTATAAAAAATTGATACTTAACAAATGGCTTCAAGACCACTGAACAGTAGTGTGAGCATAATATAGGTAAATAGCTGAGGGGTCTGACAGCAACAAATGCACACAGTAAACTAAATACAAATCTAGACAGATCTCTATTCCACCACTCAGCATCTTAATAAATAAAGGCCTCATTCTATCACAGCTAATGCCCTGTTCTACAGAAACAGGGGTAGTGGTGGGGATTATGTGGAGGCAAGTTTTAATGAGGAGTTAAACAATGATTACTAATCTCATTGTATTAGAATAAAGAACAGCACATTGGCAAACACAGGGGGAAGTTGCCCTTTGTCCTCGTCGTGGCTCGTTTTCCACAAAGCTCATTAAAGGATACTGTTAACATGCTTCCTAAGCACAAAATGTTAATTAAAAACACAAGGGTAATATGCATTTTAACGCCATGTTTTTGAATGCCATGGGAAAAAAAAATCTCATTTCCTCTGTGGTTCTGCTGATTGCAGTCTGATGCGGTGCTGAAATTAATTAGAATGCTGTGATCTGATGTGATGAGGGGGTGACCGCATGGCACACTGCCACCAGCTCCCCTCCCTCACCCCCACAACAGCAATCATCCCGAGCCCACTCATCATTACTGCCACAGACTAGGCCATCACAGCCAGACTGCTGCTGTCTCCTTTTCGTCTTTCCCTTACACAGGCTTCATCTCTGTCTCTTACCACACCCTGCAGGTCTGGACCACCAGGTTTAGACTTCTCTCTTCCTGTAAAAAGAAGATCCAGAAGGCCAGACAGCTTCTTTACTTCAGCCAACATAAGCTTATTTAAGTCTCATTGTTTCAGAAGCGTTCTGAAAGCAGCTTCTGGCCCTGCAGACATCCTCAATCCATCTTCAGGCCATGTTCATCCTTCTCAACTTTGCTCTGTAGCTGGGCTAACAAAACCTGACGGCACGCAGAAGACCGAGGTCAGCATGGGAGTTACTATAACACAGTAATCATCGATGACAGCAAGAGAGCAGCATCAGTCAATAATTCTCTTGGTCATTTGGAGGATAAAAGAGTATTATTTATTAGTCTCATTAGCATTCATAGCAGTTTGTACAAAGACTGTTTGGAGTATATGGTTCAGATTTTTAAATGCACAACCAGGTCTCTTCATCCCAATTTCTGTTACAGACTAATATGGTCTGTGAACTGTGTTGCCCCTTCGAGTCACAGTGCGGTCCCTTGACATTAAAATAACATGTCTTTAACAGCTCTGATAAGTTTTCACTAAGAGACACTCAAAGAGGGGGCCGTTTTTATGACGTGACAGACTTGCACAGTGACAGGATCGGCCCATAAAAGTCCATGCGAATGAAACGAACGAGTGTTTGCTGGGTGTGAAAATATACTGCAGCATGCACCTCTGCAGACCCTTCTATTAATCAACCTGTCTGCACTTTGTTTTGAGAGTAATCCCGTCCAACCACCAGAGAAGCACTCTGCAGTAAGTGGTGCTTGGCTGTGCTTTGAAGGCCATGGTTTATTGCCATCCCCAAGCACAGCAAGACTGCGCTGTAAAAACACATCATCTTGGTGCTCAACACTTGCCTCGAGTTACACGCTCTGGTCTAAGCGTTGCTGCTGTAGTTAGATGCAGTATAGGTCTTTATTCACGTGCTTTCTTCGGTTTTGTCTATAGCAGTTCTTCTCCTCGGCGTCATGACAAGAGTTTACTTTTGATAATTATGGACAGTCAATGTTTTGCCCTGTTATATCTCTGTCTCCACACAAATCAAAAGTTAGATACAGCTCCAAGCTGACTAAGTTTAAGATTTCTGGAAAACTCTATGTATGCTTACAGATCTGCCACTGAGGTGAATTTAAGGCACTTTCGTATACGGTCTCATTGCCCATCCCACTCCAGGGTGAAGCATTATTAAACATTTCTTTTTAATGGATTTCTAAGAATATTAAGGTGACAGCAGCATGTGTAGGCTATGTTTGTGTACACATCCTAAGGGCCATATCTTGTCCGTCACACCGGCACTCCTTAAATCTCTTTATTTCATTGTATGCATTGCTAAGGTGGGCCAAACACACAGGCATGGATACAAACATTCCATTAAACCGTTGTTTTTATTACTACTAAGTTCAGACATGTCAGTGGACATCAGGACTGCATCACACTCCGTGCCCTTTGAGCAATTCATTTATGCCATTTCACTCCAAATCAGCTTGTTTCTTGTTTTCATAAGGGGCACAGAGTGGGACAGCAACCGCTCCGACCTACTACTTACTCTCAATTACAGTGAGAGGCATCTAAAACTTTAACAAAACAAAGTGACTCTGCATGTTACTTGACCTCTTTAAGAAGACCTCCCTTCAATATTTCAATATTAGGACAGAGTGCAAGAGAAATTTAAAGTACAAGTAAAAGTGCTGAAATATTGAAGTGGTGGCTGGGTAGTGGTGGAGTGGCAGTCCTGGTTGTATGGCATAGGTTGTTGAGATGAGGCTCATATAGAATTGTCCATCCTAATTACAATAGCACCCAAGAGCCTAATGAACATTTGCTACATCAGGTCTTCCCTGACATTTAAGGGCCTGCTGTGTTAAGAAAATTAAGCTGAGCTAGCTGCAGATATGAATGAGATTTAACAGTAAATGCCATATGATACTAACCTGCCAGTGAAAGTGAATTTCAACCTGAAGAGAATGAAATGTGTGTGCCAATGTGCTGTGGAGGCAGAGGGCAGAGCAAAGCAGGGCTGAGGAAGTGACTGCACTTTAACGGGTAACCTCCTGTCTCTTACATCCTAAAAAAAAAAAATTGCTTTGGACCTTTGTCTAAACACTAAGAGGGTTTGTATCCTTCAAGATTACAAACATCAAATGTTTTATTCTGCACCACCAATGAAGAGTTTGACCCATTTTTTAAATGTAGCTTATGTGGCATAGCCACAGCTCCTCTTAAGGAAGAATATTTGTCTAAGGGGTGGAGAACAGGTCAAGACATAAAGGCCCACAGCCTCTTTTGGTTTCTTCTTTGAGAAGCCAAGAGGTACATATGAGCACCCTTATGTACTGGCAACCCTTCACTCTTTACTGAGGTAAAGAGTGTATATACAGTGTGTGTACTTGGGTGTGTGTGTGTATGCATACATGCCTTCGGTCAACAGAAAGGCCACTGACCTTTCTTTGCAGTTCTTGCCTCCTATCCTCCAGCAATGTCACTGGCCTGTCCATCTCCACCTGTAGCTCAGAAATTTGTTCTTCATTCTGCCTCTGTGTCTCCTTCTGCGCAACACACAGACAGAAAAGAGGGAGCAGAGGTGAGGCATACAGAGGATTGAAGCTGTCTATTTTCAAAGGTGTCAGCACACCTTACTTTTGCATAATGTGCATCACACCTCAGAGATGGTCCATTAGCAGGTTACAGCAAGAAAGCCGAGCAATAGGCTGACAAGATTCATCTGCAACTGATGTCCAAAGACAAACACACCACATACAAATACACATACACACAATATCCTCCCCGCTTTTTCTCCCAGACGAGAGGGTGGGGTTATCCCTGTGGGGCAGGCTTGTGTGTATCTGCATTGAAAACCATTTTACTGGACAGACCTCTGGGCTCTTGACCAGGCACTGCGTCCAAAACGTGTAAGAAAAAGAAAAAGAAAAATACAGTAGGAAATGAACATAGAGAGAAGAAGAGAAAAGACAAGCCACCACACCCCCTGCACTTCCAGACACTGATTTATAATTTTAATATCTCTAATTTCCACAGCAGCGCCCATTCTCCAAATGTCATTTTCCAATTTATGTCAAACTGTGTGACCATTTTTCTTAATACAACTTATGACAAGCTTGGTGGTAAGGCGGATATGCAATTCAGATTGAGTGTTTTACAGGCACAGCAGCAGACACACAAGGGTGTTTGTGTGTTTATCTTTATCAGTGTCTGCTCAGTATTTTGGAGGAGAAAGACGGGGGAATTATACACCAGAGAAAAATTGGATTCACTGCAAAATATGTGCCTTCAGGGAACAAAACCATAATTCTGTCATAAATCTAATAATTACAGTTATCATAATAAGAATTATGATGGTGGCAATGATAATGTATTAAAATATGCATTAACATTAAGAGTTTGAAATGGAATACGGCCTGGCTTTATGACCATTACATGAATATTGATGTTAATTAAAACAGAACCTCCCTTTTTATGTAACACTCTATCTTGTTGTAATGGTATGAGTTGGACACAGTGGTGAGCCAGATGGAGCAGAAGTCACTACTGGTTGGTTTACCCCTAGGAGCACTGTGGAACTCCTCCATGTGCCAGAGGTCTTGAAGGTAAGCTCTTTAATGTCAAACTCTGAGTGTGGTCAAAGAGTACTCTTGGTTAAAGATGCCTCCGAACTGAGAGTGTTAATCAATATGTTTATGATTAAATGGCAGCTGTCATAAGAGCTAAATGACAGAGAAAGGTGTTCGGTGCTCCTTTTGTGTGGGAAACAGGACTTACAATAGGAAGGTGAACATAAGGTGTAAGGTCTCGAGTTCCCAATAACACAAGATTTTACCTCAAATGATCATAATTACTAAATAACAGAGTTAGTGACTAACAAATTAGTAAACAATCCTAAAACCATTTTTGAAGACTATTACATAAGACATCAGTGTTTTAGTGGCATTAGCATTAGTTCTTTCAAGCAGTTTACTTTGTCCTTAAAGGCAAAAATTCAAACATTCCTTTTCATAATTTTGACATTGCCTTTCAGTTTGTCTTGCAGGTTTGACTAGTCAACATTGAGGCACGATACATTCCAAAACTAAAGCTTTTAATAAACTCCGCCATCTCTGGTAGGCTAGTGGTTAAGGCGCAGCGGCAAGAGTGCTGCTCCCCAGGTTCGAGTCAGGGTTGCATCAGGAAGGGCATCTGGCGTAAACACATGCCAAATGTCAACATGCGAGTTATCAGATTCGCTGTGGCGACCCCTAAAAATGGGAAAAAGCCAAAAGTGACTTTGTTTTTAAAGCTTTTAATAACTCCTGTTTGCAACTGCTATCCAACAACAATGAAAATCTGACCCAAGAAAAATGACATGAAATGAATGCTGCACTGTAACAGACTAAAGCAAGTTGGTCAGCAGTGACATTAAGTATACATGATTTTATATTAATGAGACAACATGTAAAATCACCTGTATGCTTAACACATTCTTTGAAATGATGGCCTGCCACCTGACTCCAGGCTAGGTTCTGTAAGGCCACAAACATGCCCTAAAGACCATTAGTGATCACTGGGATGTAAGTAACAGAGCAAGCCCTGACTTTGGGTAATCTAAACCCTATCTCACCTCTATCCCTCCTCACCCCTCTGAGCCACATGCTGATCGACTCTCTGTCCCGCCAGTACATGTTCCCCACTATTGAAAAAAGGGTAAAAATAACAGGAACAAGTTGTCGGAAATGAAATTTCAATTCATCCAGTCCCTTTATACACTGGTGCAAAAGCCTGTCGTTGAGAGGGGGGGATCAATAGTGTTTAGACAGCAGGGCAGATTTTCTAAGCGCCGGATCAATAGGAAGGAGAGAGGAAAAAATACCCTGGCTTTTCTTTGGCTGTTGTAGTAAATACGAACAAATCAGTGGCCTTAGGCTAAATGGATTGACCAGCTGTTTCCAAGTTCTGTGTTGTAAATAAAGCTCCATTCTGAGGTGTGTAACTGAGGCCCAAAGGCGAGAGTGCCACAGTTCAGGTTGGCCCTGGATGGGACCACACAAGTGTCCTGATCAGAGGGTGAGGGAAACCAGGGAACAGGGGAGCGACAGAGGGCAAGAGAGAGAGCTAAGTGTCTACAGTGATGGTTCCCAACCTTATGTCTGTGCAGATTCTCAGTCATCCAGGTCATAGTAAGATGAAAAAACTTACTTGAAAACTTGAAACGTCTTCGACCTAGAAATCTAGTCCAGTTGATTTTTTCTAAGTTTTTTCAGCTTCCCAACCTTATCCACAACTCTATCAGATGAACTCAAATACCTCTTCATCATCAAGAGTCATCTTCCAGATCTTGTAGGTTTGGTGTCCTTTTGTCTGTAGATTTAGTCACATTTGAAAACATCCAGTGACTGCCATTCCAAGTGGTAGTAACATGAATGCAGTCATCCTGCATAAAGCACTTTGACATACTGTATCTGTTCAACTGCTACAGTAACTAGTTTTTATGCAAACTGCTAATTTTCAACAAGGTTTTCATAATTATAGAATTGGCAGTACATCTAAAGTGCGTCATTTTGCATCATCTGGCAGATTCTTGCAAGAGAAAAAAATGGGTATTTCTGTGCATAGGTAGCATAGAGGGAGGTGATGGTAAATGTGATTTAGATATAATACCAATTCTGTAAGTATTAAAACCTTGTTGACAATTGGCCGAGTTTGTGTTTAAAAGCATTACAGTGTACACAGTGCCATGTGCATTTTACTTATTGAAAATAGATCTACTGATCCAGAATGAGCCGGCAAAGTTACTGAGCTAGAGCCTGAAGAAAGCTGCCATTATTGACATATTGTTTTTCTTGAATAACTGTTTAACTAATAATGATATCATTGTGATTCCAAATGTTTTGGGTAGGTTTTCATGGTCAAGGAATCACGTTATGAGAGTCAAAATATCATGGGAATAATGATTTGCCTGCTGCCTTGGTGGAGGTTTGTGCTCACTGAGTGCTGTTGGTTATTGTGATAATAAACGTACTAAAGACAAGCTTCACACCATTTTAGAATTCTATTAATGTGCTTATTTTCCTTTTAAACACAAATAAGTGGGTATTTAATTAACTTTCTGTAAATTCGTTGTGTTTTTGTTTTTGTTTTTTTGGTGGTCCAGCACACTCTTATTAGAAAACAATATTTTGTCTTGTACGCTTATATATAGACATTACATGAAGACTGGTTCGTGATGTACTGTAGGCAGCAGTGGCAGAGTAAATATCTCCACCAATATACTGGGCTAATCAGAGGGTAAGATCCTGACAGGGTGACTGATGGCCTGCTTACTTTGCCTCACCTCTAGACTTATTAAAGAAAAACACCATAGGCCACGCTTTCACAAAACTCATTGGTCAACCACACTGCAGAATGTGATGGGTGAAATTCATCACTAAAAACTCTTCAGCCAAAACAAAACAACACATTGGAGCAGCAAACGACACAAGAACCTCTGGTCATTACTGATTGCCTCCAAACACAGCGGGAAGACACTTTAAAGGACAAATGTGTGTAGAAAAGGATGGCTGTTGACTCTGGCTGCAGGGTTGACAAAAAAAAAAGAGAGAGAGAAAAAAATCTTCAGCTCTGCTGCACTTGCAAACACTGTTTGGGGCTGAGAAAAAAGCATGCCTCAAATCTATTTTCCCTTTCTCAGCCCTGTTGCCTGCAAGTGAAGAGTGACTGTTGAAACTTACAGAGAAACTACAAAAGATCTACATTTAGCCAGCCTGAACATACAGCACTATCCGCTGTTGTCTGGGAGATAAACCGCTCTCACTTTGCATTAGGTGAGTAAAACTGCCATTTGGTGGTATTACTGCAACAAAGACATTTCGCAAACAAACCTACTGTACAATTGTAGTCACATAATACACACAGAATCTTCACAAGAATACATAAACAGAGCAGCTAGACATGTTGTTCAACTCATTTGAGAGCAATTTCACGATGTAATTGAGGCTTTGTGTGTGATTGTAAGTGCCGCCTCTCTCTGATTAAGGTGACCTTAGATTGTGCACTTACTGAATCTCAGGCTGAGCAGCAGAGGTTAGAGCACAACTCATTGGCTTCCTGAACACATTACCTTAATGATGCCATTCTTCACGCCTCCATTTCAACACATTTAGAGATGGAGTAGTTACGTCTATTAAGATATTCAAATGTCTCCCCCAGCTATTTGCCCACCGCTCTAGCACAAAAGGGGAACCTGAATTAAGTGTGACAGCACCGACTCGTTTCCCTTTCCAAGCAGACAAAAATACACAGACAGAGTCATCATCCAGAATGGTCATTAAAAATTTAGATTACAGCTTCCTTGCTTTCCTGAAAACTCTTGTCTTTCTGTGCTTTTTTTTAATAGGATTGTTTTTCTTTTAACATTAAAGTGTTCGTTATGACAGATAGTGAGGCTGGCTCTGAAGGCTGCTTGTTCACCCATTTCTGGCATCTGATCAAACCTCATTTAGTCGAATGGGGGATTGAATGAAATGCTTGATCATTAACCCTGTGTCTGCCTCTAGAG